TAAAAACGTAATAAGAATATTAAATAATATTTTAAACCAAATAAAAATATCACTTTCCAAATCACATATAAAGTAGCTATAAATTTTTTTTCTTCTTTTAATTAAATTTTTTTATTTATAATTTAATTAAACATATTTTCCAAATGGCTTCAATTAGTTCATCAACAGTAATTTAAATCTAAGAACTATTATTAGAATTTAATTTAAAAAAAAATCTTGTAAAGAATGAAAGGTACAAAGTTTCCTTAATTTCATTATACATTTAATTTACAAGAAAAGAATAAATAAAGTAACAAAAAAAAAATCTTTTACGTGAAAAACGTATCAATAATTTGAATATTTTTTCATTTAACAAACTCAAATTTAATTCAAATGTTTTCTAAAAGTAAATTAATTGTTTTCTAAAAGAAAATTAAACATATTTATAAATGAATATCCTAATACTATGGAGCTAATTAGCTATTATGTACATACCTAAGTAAAATGAAATGATAACTATTCACATATCTACATATGTATGAAATATCAATCATTCGTAATCATTCACACAGACAATACTATTAAGTAAAAAAGCTCTCAACATTTTTTTCAAGCTTGTAAAAAAAGAATTTCTCAACTTTCTGTGAAATAAATAAAAAAAAGAAAGAAATAATAATTCATGAGCATACAAGAAAAATATTAATGTTAAATTTATAGAATGATTTTAATTTTGAATTTATTATGTGTGCAATAAACTATTAAAGTATCGAATTATAAAACTAAACCTCAGTTATAGCTTTATAGTATAATACTTTGAATTTATAGAATGATTTAACACCTTCATGGAAGAACATGTTAATTGAGATCTTGAAAAATTAAAAATTTCCTAATTATGGTAAACTGCAAATATAGAACAGCTATTTATTCTGTCAAATCTAAGTAAAGTAGTTTTAAAGAAGAAAAAAAGTGGTTTTAAACAATTTCTAGAACAAGTTTTTGTTTTTATAACATGTAATTATAGAACATTAAATTATTCTGTCAAATTTAAAAATAAAAGAGTTTCAAAAAGAAAAAAAAACGTTTTAGAACATGTTTTTTTTTCTCCAACTACCACCTTTCAATTGTGAGTAAATTAAATTGTGGAAGGTGGATAGATTGGTATATCTTCATAATTATTTATAATATTTAACAACAAAATCAATATAAAAGTTTTCAATTTTTTCTTAAAATGATAAAAGTTTTAATGGTATTTCCATATTGTTAACTGCTTATAAATAAATTTGATTTTAAAGTAAATTATAGCAGACACATCCTTTTAACAAAAAAAAAAAAAAAAAAAANAAAAAAAAAAAAAAAAAAAAAAAAAAAAAAAAAAAAAAAAAACATGACTATTTTATTGATTCAAAGAGAATTATTTAAAAATTAATATTAAAAATAGTTAAAACATCAAATTTCATTTGTGTTGTAAACTATTCTTGTCATTAATTTCACTGTTTTTCTTTTTTAAAAAAAATTTAAAATGTTCATGAATAGAAAAGTAGTATTTTAAAGATTTTTATTTTACTAAATACAATTGAAACACTTAATTTGAATTCAAATGGACGGAATTTAAATATACCTTTTGCTGCCTCTTTTTTTTGAAAATATAACTGTATTAATAACAAAATTTAAACATAATGATGTAAATAGTTTCTTCCAGTTTCAAGATGTAACACAAATAATAAATTATAAAATGGAATGTGAATTTAATTACTAAGGTATTTTCTAAATAATAATAAATAAAAAAAACTATTGTACTGATTATCAGGTACATGTTAATATAGACATTTCTAACAAAAGGACAAATCAAATTTAAACAAAACATACAAGTAACATTTATTAATACTTAACAACATAAAAATGTGAAATTGTTTATGATAAATAGAACTAAAATTACAGAAAAAAAAATTATTTTATGATCCTACATCAGCCTGGGCCAATTGGCCATGCGCTGTAGAAAAATATAAAAGTACCGATTTTTAAAAATCAATACATAAAATCTCTTTCACTTTCAAATTAAACTACAAAATCAGAGTAAAAGATAAAGATTTAAATAAATGAGTTAAAAATTAATATAATTTTTATGCTAGAAAAGAAAATGAAACTTAATAAAATTTATAACTTTAAACAATTTTTTCACAATAAAGGAAGAAACATTGAAACATTTTCCATATTATACTTAACAGAAAAGTAAACAGAAGACAATCAACAAGTGATTTTAAACTAATTCAGTTTTGTATAGTTAAAATGTGAAAATATTTTTGAAAACCTGTCTTAAAAAAACATATGGAAAATTGTGTTGAGAAATTCTTTCTGAAATTCACATGCAAAGCTTTATAACACTGTCTAAAACTAATATTTTCCTTCATTTATTTTTTGATCAATGGAGACATGCTTCAATAATTGATGAGGAATAAAAAAAGGCATACAAATGCTGTTATGAATGATTGGCTACATGAAAAAATTTAAAAAAAATTCCCACTTAACTTGTAAGTGCATTAGCATAAGAAAAAAGAATGAGTGATTTATGTTCAGAGAAATAAAACAGACATATTTTTCAATATTGATTTTTGATAATTTTTTAAATTCATATCAATAGTGAGAAAAAGTTTGGGATATCATCATATTAAATATTATTTAAATATAGGACTGAAAGCTTTTAGTCTTTATTTAAAACAATTGAAGAAATAATGTTTACAGATTTCAACTCTATTTTATTTCGAAGGAAATTAAATTATATTAAGATTTTATAAGAGAATTTTTTTACAGTGTTCAGGAGTAATTTTGTCAAACAATCCACAGTACACACAAAATTTTGTCAAATAATCCACTGTTCAGGGAAAATTTTTCCATACAATTCTCTTCTCAGAAAATCTTATCTAATGGTCACTAAGCAACAGATGTGTCTGAGAAAAACTTTTTCTTTAACATTGTTTAGTTATATTTTAAGTATTACTTTGACTGTTACAATTTTGCTTCAACATGTATGGAATTCAATGTTAAGTTTAAACTTTTAATATCTGTGTTCATTTCATTAGGTAATTTGTTTTATGTAATTTTAAATAATGATTACTTATTCAAGTAAAATTTAATAAATTCTCGTTGCGAATTAATCAAATAATTGTTCAACCCCTTCCTTCTCGCTCCCGTGAAAATGACGGGGTGAGATTTGGCCCGCTATTTCTCGCACCTGTGATATTGACGGGCTGGAGTGTTCAGTAGTAACGCGCCAATAAGAATAAAGCTAATTCATTTTCTTTGCCCGGAAAACATTTTATTTCTCATTTTACACACCTGATGGCAGTATCAGGATATTTTTAAGGTAATTCTAGATAGTTAGTTTATTTTAAACTAGTTGCAGCACTAATCAAATACGTAATACAAATACAAAAGTAAAAAAAATAGGCACTTTTATGACCGTTTTCTTGAAAATTAACCGATCGTTAAGGGGTTAAATGTTTCTTTTCTATTCAAAAGGATGAAGAGCTGAATACAGTAATTTTTACTGTGTATAATAATAAATAATTTACATAACTTATTAGAAGAAAATGTTAAGCAATCTTTTTCAGGTTCATAAATATGTTATAGTTAGCATTAAATATAGAGAACATGACAAGTGTTTTGCAAAGTTTTTGAAATAAGACAGTTTTTTAATTCGAAAAATTCTTTTGAAAACAAATTTCTAATGATTCCATGCATCATAAAGCAGATTTTAAAATGTTTAATTAACATGCTTCTTTACAGAGCCATCAATTACCACAAAAAAAAAATAGTATTTGAAAGATAACACATAATAAAAAATTTTTAAATTGAAACATAAAGTCCCAAACTTGAAATCTGCATAAGGTGACCACTTGAAATGATAGGTGGTCAAATTATAAAGTAATATTTTACCAGTTTGTTGCTTGATTACAGAAATTAACTAAGGAAAGTAGTCAATAGATTAAAAAAAGCAAACATTTCAAAACACAAATGCAGCCCAAACTTTTCCTACAATACCATTCTTAAAATGTTAAATTTGCTAATTAGAATAACTATCTGTTTTATTTCTCATAGAACAAGTTGTTCAGTTGGTGTTTTATTTAAAAAAGTCTAAAAAAGTGTGATGCTTTGCACACAATTAGATGAAAGTTTATGAGTTCACATTAGTAGCTGCCATATTAAAACCACCTTCTGTCCTTTATTGATGAAAATTGAATATTGATGCGACTTATTTTTCTTTTACATTTCATATTCAAGAAAATGTCAAAATTGACACAAATTTTGAATACAAAAATAAAAATAACTAATTATTCAGTTTCTATGTTTATGAATGATTCTACTAATAGCTGAATAAATTATTTCCTATTAATGAAAAGTATTTGAATTAGATAAAATTTTAAATTATCTGAAACATATTTTAAATGTTTTCAACACAACATAAATCATTTTCGTACAAGAAAGTTTAGCTTAGGGGTGCACAACATTTTTCGTAGTTGACCATAAGAAACAAAATTTTGGTTTTCTAGGTACCTACGTAGTGATTTGCATAGATAATAAAATACTTGCATAGATAATAAAATATTTCTTAGTGCAATAAAAAGAAAAGAAAATTGTCTTAAAAAATTAATGGACAAAATGCAGCAAATTAATACATTATACGCGTAAACTCTGTACATACGTTTTGCCCACTTAAGTCTACTTTAATAAGATTTAAAAAAAAATTGAGGAAAAAGCAACTTTAATATTCTCTTTTACTATTTTTAAATTATTAACATTTTTTGTTTTTAAATAATTTCTCCAGCTGCATTTGTCTTGTACTTGTAATCAAAGTTTAGAGTTTCAACTATAGATAGTTAAATCTCGACATTTGGTATTAGGGTTTATTTTGAAGTTTTAATGTTATAATTTGAATATTTCTTTACAGTTCATTGAAATCAATTTGGAAAAAAAAACACTTATATAACTTCTTAAGCTAGTTAGGTAATTTTTTTTTCAAATTATTGTTGGCTCTTAGGCAGGGGTCTCGATCATTTAAGGATCACATTTAGCTTCTGAGGTATGTGCACCCTTAATCTATTTACACAAAATTATTTAATAAGAATTCAAAGGTCGTTCATGAAATTACGTAATACAACAGTTTTAAATACATATAAAGAAACAGTAAAACCATAACAAAGTTTACTGTCAGCTGACAGAAATGATTAAATTTTAAACATTTTTTCTTGTGTTTTGTTTTGTTTCAGACAAAAAGTTTTCAGTAAATTAAATAATCTTCTTCCTTAGCAAGCCTTACCTAGAATAAATTAAATACCTAGTTTATGTGTGATAAAAAGAAAATGTTATCTTTTATCTCTTCTTAAGTTTCTTCCTTAATATGAGCTACAGCACCAATTATATTTAAGAGGTGAAATTATTCTACAGTTTAAGAGTTATGAAAAATAATTTTATTCCAAAATCCTTTTTATATTGCTTTAAATGTTACTTGTATAAATTATTAACAATCATAGATGCATTTGGAAATTACAGATCTTAAAATTTTAGAAGTAAATTAGAGATATAGTAGTTTAAGCTGATTCGAGCTTAAGTAATATATAAAAAAATAACTTTTAAGCATGTATGGGAAATTTATAAATAATCATAAATTAATTTCTTTCAGTAGTATATTCTATTTTATAATAGCACAAATTTTAATCATATCATTTAAGGAATAAGAATTTTTTTCAACTTTATGATACTGATTTGATATTCTTTTTTTGTTAATATTCAAGGTAGAAAGTGGCGGATAAATAAAAAAATCTCATCTAACTAAAACAGCTAAGAATGTGGATAATAATATTTAAAAAAAAATGGAAGTAATATTTATATTATAAGTGCATAGACTTAAATTATGATAGTTAATATAAAAACCTCATTAAGCTTGCAAGGTGAATTTCGAGCACAAAAAGTAGTCAATAGAAGAGAACTATTATCCACTTAAATACAGCTGTAAAATTATCTAATTGAAGATAAGTTTTTTAGGCACTTTTAAGTAAAAGTATGCATAAAAGATAACTTAGTAAGCAAGTATTTAAGCCTTTTGTGTAAATGTTTTTATGTCCCAGTAAAATTTTCAAATTTGAAATAGAATAACTTTAAAATTTTAAGCTGAATTTTTTATTTTTGAAAAATTAGTTATTATGTAATATTTATATAAAACCAGTTAAAATATTAATTTTTTATAAAACTTATAAATTTGATATGTAAATATGTTTTGTTATAATACTTTAAAATAATTTTGACTAGAATCTGTTTCTTTGAATAATACAAACAAGTAAAATTACTTCAACTGCAATAAAATTCAGTTAATAAAATAACATCAGGAATTTTAATTTTTACATTGTTTGATAAATTTTAGAGAATATCATGAAATAAATATAGAATGTTAAGATATCTTTTTGTACTATAATAATGGGTTTTAATTTGGGGTAAATTAAGAGGTTAGCAAATATTAAAAAATAATTGTATAGTAAATATTTTTGAAGTAAAAAATTCGCAAAATATAAATAAGTTAATGTGACAATGCATATATTATTAATTAAGAACAGCTTTTTTTAGTTATTTAAAGGAAAAATAAATTTTCATATAGAACTACATTGGAAATTATTAAAATAAAAGCAAAAAAGAGGTTACTGACACAAAAAAAAACTTGAATAAACAAATCTTTTACTCTATCATTAGACAATGCTTAAATTAGAATGAAATTATAGTCATTGTACTTTTTGAATTTTAAAATAACAAATCATTTATGATTTTAAGTTAAGACCTAAAGTAGATATAAAATAGTTCAAATAGTATTAAAAAATATAAGTGGAATTACCATGTGCAAGTAAATATATATCTTAAAACATAAATTTATTCAATAAAATAAACTTGCAGAAATTAGAAAATGAAATTCATTAATTAAATATTTTTACCAAAAATATTTACTAACCAATTGGAATAACTATAAACAATTTTATTAAAATTTGCGAGAAAAAGAAATGCAATAATTTGTAATTAAACAAAAAAATACATGAAATAATTAAGAAATATTGGTTTTGAAAAATAGGTTATTTAATTCAACATTTTTAACATGGGACTTAATTATGATTTACTAATAATTTGCCCTCAGAGTAAAAGTAGGTTATAAGATTAGACTTAAGTCTACTGTTTACTATACAATAAAGTATATGTTCATAACTATTTTATTTTTAATAATTCTTGAAAACAACTCAACTGATTTTTTAACATATTATAAATAAAATTACCAATTGATTTTTAATTTCTTAAGATCAAAACATATTTTCAAAACTTAATTAATATAACCTAAGTAATAGACTCAAAACATAAAAATCAAGTTTTTTTAGAATTTTAAATATTAATTCTACAATTTCGAGATTTAATTATGGCAATTTAATTAGTTATTGACCTTGATTATCCAAAGAAATATTAATAGTTATTTAAACATATTAAATTCTGAGGGCAAGATGTCCAAATGTTAGGAACCCTTAAATTAATAATGTATTTATATTTTAAATACTGTATATATTTTATTATATTATATATTTTAAATATTACATACTTTAAAGCATTCCTCGATAATTCACAATTACTTTGAATTCAGCTTCCATAATTTATAATAGAAAGTTAAAAAGTCTGTGTACATGTGAAATATATAAGTATATTTTTATCTAAATAAATCTTAAGAAAAAGTGACCGTGAATGTGAGCAAAAACCAAATCTTCAAAAGTGGTGGCATGCAGCAGCAACCTGATTTACTGAGCAAATGTAATTTCTATGTGCAGATGCCACATGAATAAGTTAAAAACTTGCCCTTTATTAAGATGTGATTTCCATAAAATGATTTCCTATAAATTCTTGATATTTAAGTCTTTTGAATAACAATAAATTAAATGACTAGCAATTCTTTTATTTAATTAAAATCATATGTTAGACCTTGTACTCCGGAAATTTCTTTTTTCCTTTTCTTTTGGCTCCCGAAGGAGGTTGGGAGCCGGAAGTGGAGGAGCTAGAAGAAGGCGGAGCAGTTACGGGTAACTGAGCACGATCCGACCTAGTTGTAGATGGAGGAAAATAACCCTTATCATCGTACAGTCCATCGTAAATTTCATCGGATGGTGGACTAGGTACATACTCACAACCGTCAATTTTTAGTGTTTTGTCTTGTGGCTGTTTAATGTTTAAGTTCCTCTCATAAGCGTAATCTGGTTTGTAAGTAATCGGGAGGGCCTCTTCACTCGCACTACGGACAAACTGATGCGCTGCGTCGTAATCCCCATCTTCTCCTTCATCCTCAATGCTACCCTCTTCATCAAACTCTTCCTCATCTTCTTCCGTCTCCGTGGGAGGGACTCGTGTAAAACGGCCTGAAACGTCACCAGCAGATTGCCTCTGCTTTCTGCCTAAGTAGAACTGTAGCCCTGGCTCTAGCTGGCTTTCAGTACCACTTGCACTGTCCGTCCTATCCACTCGATAATGACGATCAGCTTCTGGCTCACTTAGACGAAGATCAGAACCTGCTGGGGATACGTGCAAAGGCTGGTGTTCAAGTTGCCGCAAAAGATCTTCTAAGTTTCTTATCCTAATTGGTCCACAAGGTGGCACCATGTCCTCAGCTTCCTCACTGCTCGTGTTCCCTAGATGTTCAGTACTAGTTTTAATGACACTGTAATCTGCTACAGCGTCCATAAATGTTTTTTTGGTATCCTGTGGACTTCCCTGGCTATCGAGTGGACGATGGGAAGACACAGTGTGAAGGGCCTCTAATATTTCTTCGTGATATCCATTCAAGCTCTTTAAAGTTCTTTCAACTTCTGTTAGTGCATCACTGTTACGCTCACCATGGCTGTCTGCCTGACTCATTATATCTTGGTTATCTGACTGAGACGCTTCGTCACTCCATTTTTCTTTATCCGATCTGATTGCTCGCTTTAATATTCCCTTCTCTGGAACCTTAGAGAGATTGTTAGGTGACAGTTCAATAAATGCAGAGGTCTCATCAAGTAGCTCTTCACCATCTGAACACGATGTGTCTTTCAACTGTAAAACCTGCTGTCTTTTTAATTCCTGAAGCTTGTCTTCCCTGCAAAAACAATTAATACCTTTAAATTTGCCAAAAAGATTTAAGAATTGTTCAAATAATCTATAATATTTGTGATGTCCAAATCTAAAAAATATTGTCAAACGTCTTGATTTTATTAAAAATAATATTTCTGTTCCTAAAACAATGAATGCTAATTATCAGCAGTTTTAAAAAATACAAGAACGAACACTAATTATCAATATGAAAAAATCAATCTTTAATAAAAACTCAGACTCTTACCCCCCCCCCCTAAAGCTTTTAGAATAGTTGAAAAGATTGGAATATTCTGTATCTGGAGGAATTTTGTTTTACCCAAAATCCAGCCCTGTGTTTTTAATCAGTGGAACACATTTCCATATAAAATAATCATAATCTTCTACTATTTTAGAAAGAATAAACTATTATTGATTGAAATGTTTATGTATAATAAATAAAACAACATGAAAAGAGTATAAACATTGTCATATAAACAGAAATAGGATAGTTTACAAACAATAATGAAGCTACACTGTGTAAACTATGGTACTTTAAGACTAAAGACTTTCGAATTTCTATGTTCTTTCTTAATAAAAACCCTCTTCTTAATAAAACCCTGTTGATAATAATATGAATGTCTACTTTAAAGACATAATCATAAAAAATAAAAATTTCATGATTAGGATAAAAATGGAAATAGTAATTGATTCAATAATCAAAAATAAATAAATAAAGGAAAAATTAAAACCAAAATTTCTAGATCTATTCAACTGAAATATGAATCCTACATAAATCTGTTGGCAAGCTATTTTTATTCTATGATGGAGAATTACCTATCCTGGGGACAAGGAGGAACTTTTTTTGTGTCCCCTCTATGATTTTTGATGCATTTGACACACTTTTGCACTGAACCGGAATCACAGAAGCTTCTTTTTTATTGTTGAAACACAGAGATGTACTGCTTGCCACAAATATGAGAATTATTGACCTTTGGAGAGTTCATTTCAAAAAGGAAATATTCCCCTTTTTCATTTCCCTTTGACATAATAGAAAGTGCTTTTTTATACACTATCTGGACACTTACCTAAAAGATCAAATTTGGGGGTGTAATTTATCATTTGGCCTGAGACTCTTAATTCCTGCAGCTGGATACATAAACTTCAAATTATGGACATTTTGAACAATGCTGTTTTCCCAACTCCATAGCAGTATTTCAGAGGCCATTTTTCTTCCAGAAGAATAACTGTTTGATTTTGATTCACTTATTGAGACATGCACCGCCACAGTTTGACACATTGGATGTCTTAAAACTGGACTGACCTTCTCAGATCCTTGATCTAAATCCCATAGAATAACTTTGGGAGAAATCAAAATGCAGATTACAAATACAACAAAATCGACAATCCTCTCTTCAGAAGTGGTGGTCACCTGGAAGCCATTATTTGTTGGCAAACTATTAAAAACTGGTGGAAAGTATCCCCATGTGTTTGCAGGTCATCACTGATGCAAAAGGGGAATCAACGTCACTTTAATGTAAGCGTCTACCACTGGGTGTTCAGATACTTTGGGACTGAACTTGGATACTGAAAAAATCCTATGTTTGTTTATCAGGGTGCGTAGCCAAATTATTCAATAAAAATAAGCACATTTTAAGCACTTTTCAAGTACTCAAAAAATATTTGTAATCACTTTTAAAAAATATCATAATTAGGCAGGGTTTGAAACTTCTTGACAATTGACGGTTTTATTTTGTTTTAACCATCATGTCGGAAAAAAAAAACTTTTGACACTGTTTCTGACAATTGTTAAAAATCATGAAATTTTGAATCATGTAAAATGAAAGGCGTTTTAATACGCTAAGGAATGACAATACGCCGAAATAGATCAGGGTTGAAGTAATTGGGAAAACATTTAATAGAACAATGTGAACTGCGTCTTTTTGTGTAATTTGAAGGGAAAATCAACATGGTAAAGAAAAAATCTCATTTTGAAAAAGGGAAAATTAAGCACATTTTAAATGAAAAAAGCACTTTTAAGGGCTTTTGAGAAACAAAAATCGAAAATAAGCACCTTTAAGCATTTTTTTAAAACACTACGTACCCTGTTTATATGAAATGATTTGTGCAATTTTTATGTTTTAACTTTGCCCTATTTCAAGAGGTTAAAGTGTTTACCTGTAGGAAGGCATACTTCCGAAAGTAATAATACGGTTCACGTTTTCCTGGGAAGAGCTATCATCAACCTTGATGGAACCTTGAGTGGATGAAAATTTGCGACTTGAATGTTTTTTCAGGTGGGATGGGTCCGGCTTGGGCATAGCACTCTGTCTTCTGACAAAAGGAATGTTGCAGTCACAGTGTCTTACACACATAAAACAACACAAATCAAAAGTATAAAGAGCAACACAATTAATTATTGTTTTGAGCAACTAGTTTACTCAAAAATATTAACAAGAATATATATATACAGAAGAAAACACAAACTAAAATGTTAAGATGCCTCTAATTTATTGCGTAGATACAGGGGGTGGACAAAATATGGAAACTCTTCTGTACTAATACATTTTCTCATATTGCTCCAGAAACAGTTAAATAATTTCAGAAGTCAGAATTCTATATTTCAGAATTTTATAACTTCAGAAGTGTTCAGATCATACAATTTCTCATACATATCAGTGAAGTTTAAAGCTTTTAAATGTTTGAGGAAGCGACAATAAGATACAAACAGAAAATGTTTTTGAACAGCCTATTCCAAAAGATTTGTAACAGTTGCAACAGTTATTTTGGTTATTATATGCAATAATTACACAAAATTTTGTAAGCCAAGCTTAATATTTACAGAAATACAGACATTTTTAATAAAAAAAAAGCTAATTTTTCTATAACTTTAAAAATATTCAACAGAATTAATTTTTGGCGCAATTTAAAATGAATTACAAAATTTTTGCTTTAAAATTTGAATTTTTTTTTTTCAAAACTGTGTAATATGTAAGCAATTAAAGTAGTTTTTTATACTACGCATACTCTGAAAAAAAAATTCTACATAATTTTCAAATTTTCTACATAATTTTGTAGTGAATCGCATTTGGCGACTAATGAAGAAAATCTGATTTTAATATCTCAGAAACTCAAAAAGTTTTGAGCAATTTTCTAAATAGTTTTTGTACTTTTTAAAAGAATGCTTAAAATAATAAGAGGTTTACTACATATTTCATTTTGTAGTATTAAACAAGATTTATTAAAAATTACAACAGCATTGTTGAGAATTATCCCCATAAAAGCATCTTTTTCTTCATCTGTTTTCTTTTCTTACTATCAAGTTATGATGTATGAACGTTCATTATAATGTTTCAACATTTGTTATTAAATTCGGTTTCATGATACAAAATAATATTTGTAGAAAATCCCATATCATTTTGAGCTTTCTTTTATAAAGTACGAAAACTTCTCAGAAAATTGCTCGAAACGTTTTACATTTTCAAGATATTTTAATACAATATCATATATACCTTTTTCATTAGTTGCGAAAGATGGCTTACAGCAAAATTAAGGCTGTGCATGCGCAGTTTACAAAAACAACTTTAATTACTCATATCATACGCAGTTTTAACCCACTGATGGTTCTGCACGTAAAAAGTCGCATTTTAACCTGCAGTCTTCTCTGCATAGCAAAACCGGTTTTCCCATGTTAACTGATAGGGGAACTGTGTGTAGGGGAGAAACATTCTCCCAATTTTGCCCATTCCTTAACCGCCAGTGGGTTAAACAAATTTTTTCTCAAATTTTAAAGCAAAAAATGTGAAACAAAAAAATTTGTTTTTCATAAAAATGTCCATACCTCCATAAATACTTAAACTAGGCTTACGAAATTTTGTGTAATTATTGCATACAATAACTTCAATAACTGTCACAAATCAATTGCTACATTTTTTGGCATGGGGTGTTGAAAAACATTATTTTCAGTTTGTAATTTATTGCTGAAGATATAAAATAATTCGTTATGTATTTCTGGAGAAATATTAATTTTTTTATTAGTATAGAAGTGTTTCTACTATTTTGTCCACCACCTGTATTTTCACTTCTGAACTTTTGATTAAAAAACCCGTTAAAAATATTACTAAATGATTTCAAATTATGCCATTTTTTTAAAGTTTATTTAGCAGAATAGCTGCTACACTTTTCAACACAAATTCCATTGCTGAATACAGCATAAATATTATCATTGCTTAACAATTTAAATGTACCATGTGTCGAAAAAATTCACTAGGCAAGAGAAATGATTTGTGACTAAATAGCACAAAATAGCATTGGGAATTGAGTAAAAAAAAAACAACAATAGCAATTCTATGTGTGTCAGCACACAGAATTTGTTTGTATTATTAAAAAAATATCTTGTGATATAGCATTTTGATATTCTAAAGCATGTTTGTTAATCAAAATATATTAAAAAGGAAACATACAAAACTAAGAGACTTACTCTATAATTAATTCTTAAAATTTACTGGTTTTAAACTTAATACATTCAAGACCTCACTCATTTTAAAAACAATATATTTAAATATTGTTGTATGTAGTGACAAAGTAAAAGTGTAAAACGAAAGTGAAAGGACAACCCAAATCTTATGGAAATTAATTACCTGTCGAATTGGATGAAAATTTAATATGTTGTATTAACATTCTGTGCAAAAGTTCTCTTTGACACAAAACTCAAAAATGGTAAAATTCCAAAATACAGAGAATTGGACATGGGATATAAGTAATGGTCAGTGTGTTGAAAGGTGCTTGAAGCACACTTGCCTGCAGCATTGGACATTGAGTAATTGCCGACACATTGAGAGTGTTATATGTTTTTAGAATATGCAATGTATAGAGAAATCAAATATCCATCTATAAAATTAATCGAATGTATCTACGATGTAGCCAATTGACCTCTCCAACAAAATGTAAATAATATTCAAATAACTGATGATTAGCTATGTTTATGCGTAACTACATATGTTTGCATATATCCAAGGATCTTTTTGTTTCAACAATCAGTCCTGATAAGGGCTATAACATGTACAAAATCTGATCAAACCACCTCCACATGTAGAACATTGGTTAATGCTAATGTCATGATAGAATTGAGAAATACTATTTATGTTTGTTTATCTCAAAAGCTATAAATTTTTTGGACATTTTGCTCAGCAGAACTTTTGATAAGAATGTTTTGAACTACAACCAATTAATTTCCATGAGATTTGAGTGGAGTCCTTTCCTGATGAAGAGTATGTTGATGTGCTCTACAGAAGCAGCCAAATATTGAATTATTAGGAAATGATAGAAGTTTTATTAATGAAATGTTCTACTGTTTCCCTTTTACAAAATGTGCCAGGATCACTAACTTCAATCTAGATTTTTCAAATCTTTGTCAAAAATGATGTAAGAAAATAGACACAATATTAGTGGCAAATTAATATTTAAGCAAGGAAAGGACAAAAGGCAATCAAATTATGTTAGATTACTAATAAGAAATGTGGGATAAAAGTATTCCTTCAAACCAGTTTGAAAGTCTGTTGAAACTTGTTTTTGTAATGATCACTTTCTCTGTTTTCTCCAGCAATCAAATAAGTTTTGACGTTTTTAGTTCTATTTTCTTCAGTAGTAATTGAAAAGTGCTTTTGATTTTTTTTCTCAATAAAACATTAATTTTTAGCCTCTAATGCATGTACTTTTTTACTTGATTTTCGACAAGAATTCTAAAACTGTACATTTAAAGTGGTCGGTCACAAGTGAACATAATATCTATTATGAGGTACTATGATTTATTCAAAATTTTTTAACACTCTTAACAAACTTTTCTCTACCTCTACTGATTACATAAATTTATTGACAGAAAGTTTAGTCAGATTTTGTTCATTTAAAATTATATTTGCTTTTAAATATTAGATTTTTATTTTTAATTATTAAAAATACGGTGTTATGAACTGTGATACTGAATCGAGTTCGATTGATAAACTAACTGCAAAATTTACATTTTGTAAGCATAATGCTATAGAATTAACATGTTTCTTAATTTGAATAAGTATCAAAAATAAAATACTTAAAATAGAAAATTAAAGTAAAATATTAAACACTAGAACTAACAGCTCTTTCTTGCACACACGATATTTAATTTTAAAAGCTTAAAAAAGCATGACTTTATGTTTTTAAATTTTTATGTTGTTAATACAGTAGAAGATTGTCATTCTATAAGCTGCAACTCTTCATAAATCACATTAGCTTTGTGAGTGTAAAAAATAAAATTTGTAGTAAAGAAATTTCTATAACTAAAAAAGAATTATTAACTTCTTACATTAATTGCTTAATTATTTGCTAAGAAATTAAAATTTCAAAAGCTAAACAAATCAAAATTGATTCATTAATTTGTTCATAGTTCTAATGTGGCAAAAAATATTTAAAAAAAATTTGTAAACAATAAATACTTAAGTTCATATTTTTTGTATTTCTAAGTATTTGTATCCAAACTAATTTAAAGCACTTAACTATTAACTCGTTCTAAACTAATATTGCCATATTTATTTTAAAGATGAGTGAAATGGTCTATATAACACAAAATTCCATAAAACACAAAGATCCAGATTTCAAGAATTGTGCTATAAAGATCTTTTACTGTAATATACATTTTTCCGTAAAAAATGTTTAATTGCTTTCTATTAAATTAATGAAATTGTTTTTTTAAAATCTCTAAAAAGTACATGTAGAAAAAATATTAAAAAAACATTACCAGAGTTTAATTAATATTTTTGGCAGTTGTGAGTAAATTTTTCTGAGTATCTTTCCAAAAAAAAAAAAAAGATGTTTGATTGTTATTTTGCATTCTTATATAGCAATAACAATTATAAATGCCGTGTTAAAAATTGTTTTGAAGAGATAATGTCTTACAAGCCTTTATAATTAAACAAGAAATAAAACAAGTCTAGAAATTACCTGTAGCAGGTGGCTAATAAAGCGAAGAAAATAAACACTCCACCAACAACACACACAAGAACTATTACGAGTGATGGGGTGCTGAGGACATCTTTCTTTCCCACTGATAACAAAGATAAGCACTGATAAATCAACAATATATTTTGGACAGAAAATCAATATTTTTAATATAATTGTTACAGAAATTGAATTCTATATACAGTGAAACCTCTAGTTGTGGACACTCCTGCAAAACGAACACCTCTCAATACGGACATATTTTTCTCCCCCGTGAATCTTCTACTAATAAACCATTATGTACATTCTCTGAAAAATGAACACTTCCGTAACCGGACGAGAATGGTCATTTTTGCCTTGAAACGTTATTTTCTATCCCTTCAAACCGGACATTGTTTTTTCTAAATTTGAAAAAAAAAAAAAAACTTTCTCTGAGGAAAAAAAAATATGCAACTTTTCACCATTTTTAAAGTATGTTAATTTTTTCCCTAATCCAAAACTAAAAATATTAAGATATTTCTCTACTAAAGAATCAATCTTTCTCCTATCACCTAGTCTTATCTTTCCAAATTGCCTATCACCTAGTCTTATCATGCCACTATAATCATAAGTATAAGATAATCATTTTTAACATTTTTGATTGCATACGTTATAATACATTTATACAAAATGACTCAATTACTATAGAAACGTGTTGGCAATAAATATGAATATAAATTATTTTATAATCACCTTATATTCCTTACAAAATTAGCTCTATTTACTTTAAATATGTGATTAAAAACATAGTTATAAACACCATTAAAAGGCCATTAAAAAGATTTCTTAATACAGTGCAGTAGAATAAAAAAAGGAAATGCTCTCACCCCCGTACGGAGTATTTGATTTAGATGTTTTGTTTCTCCAAGCATCTACCGCATCCAAGGTTGGTTTCTTGGTTGTCATTGAGTCACTTTCTCCAGGTTTCCTTAAAGTTCCAGGAGGTGTATTAGCATGATCTACGGTATCGGGCCTTGAACTTTTCGGTTGACTACAATCAAAGGATGTCCAGCTTGCATCACAGTGACAAGTGTTGATATTAGAACAAACCTGCATGTATAAAGAAAAGTTTGAATAATAAAAAACTTCTACTTGAAATAAAAAGCAAAGAAATGTGAATCCTTATTATACAGAGAGAGAATATGGCAGCAAAAAGAGACATAACATTCATCAAACAAAAATGATTCTTTGTGGTATAAAACCATGAATATGCTATGTACTATTGGAAAGAACAGATTTTTTTTGCACTGAAATCTCAAGTGACAAAAAATATAGCCAGATTCAGTTTGCCCAAACTGCAGATATAAAGTAATATTACAATGCTACATGACTAAGAACATGAATAGACAATAATTGCGAAATACTTTGTGTCTAGTAACATGAACAAAAAATTATAATGAATGTAAGTAAAAAAAAAAAGAAATATATGTGCAGTTTAAAATTTAGAATAAAGTGCAGAATTCAGAAATTAAAATAAAACTGCAATACAATTAATATAACATTCAATTATCAAAACTGTCTTTCTTTTAAAGCTGTATCAGATCTGAATGTTATATTTCCTTACAAAATTAGCTCTAAATTAGAGCAGATCTTTTTAGCATAAAAATACAATAAAGATAGGTACACGCTTTAAAATTGCAAAATCAAATATAATACAAAAAGTAGTATTTTCAAATATTGAAACACTCAGCAAAAAGGAAAAATGAATGGCCAATTCTAATTCGTTTACTGAATTTTAGTAGACAATCCTATTACAGATTACTCTCTTTTTATACAAAACTAATTATACTTAAATAAAATAAAAGAATACTGAAAAATATTAGTTTTTAGGCACTGAAAAAAGAGCTATAATTCCATATGGATTGCAGTACTTTTTTCAGTGCCTTCAAACTTTATTTATTTTTGGTATTTTTCATAGTCTCAGAGTTAAGGTGTAACCATTTAATTCAATGATGGAGTAATAAATTAATAAATTGATTGAATATGATTATTATTGTAATAAGTTCAATATAAAGTTAGTGCATGTTTATAAATAGGAAACTTACTCCATGTCCTGAACAAGGCAGGGCAATATTGTTTGTTGGACACGTTCCAGGCTCAATAAATACATCAATACTAATACAGGTTTGATTCATACATATCTGAAAAAGAGTTTTAAAAAATTAACACTCATCTTTCCTATAAATACAACTTAAAAAATGGTCAGGAAGATGAACTGCTTTAATTTAACAAACAAAACAAAAAATATCATTGGAAGTAAAGACGGTAAGGAGTTTTTTTTTCTTTTTTTAAATTTAAACATGCATCAAAGCATACTGAAAGAAAAAAAAAGCCTTATTAGTACTGAAAGATTTAATAAATAAAAATTAAATTGAAAAATAGTTTATTGACACAACTTTTTTAAAATGAGAAATATATTTCAAAAAAGCTTTTGGGTTAACAAGATTTTCAATAAGATTTTTAACTTTGTTAATAAGTCAGGTACTTAAAAATTGGAATGGCTATAAAAAATAAAGTATGTTACATCAATATGTCTAATTATCCCTGATATAATTATGAAACCAAGTTTTAAAAAAAATTATGTTACAAAACAAGTTTTAGTAATCTGGATGGCAGTATTTTATCATCTAATTTTATAATGACTTCAAATATAAATACAGTACAGAACCTCTTATCCGGAAATCAGAATACCGGAAAACCGGAACAAAATTCAATATATTTTCCGGCAATTTTTTAAACAAAAAAATTTTTTTCCCTGTAAAAGATTTCAGAATTCTTCTTTCTTTTGTAAAAGATGTTTACCTTCATTTTAGAAATAATCATTAGTTCCCAACACTGTCAAAAGAAGCAAGAGTTTTTTTAAATTATTAATATATATATATTTTTTAGTTGAGTTTGACAATAAAAAAAACGGCTTTTTGTAGCAATTCAGAAAACCGGAAAAATCAGTTATCCGGAATAGAGTTCTGGATAATCGGTTCTCCACTGTATATAAAATATACTTTATGAAAATAAATCCTTTCTATCATTCTCTTGGTTTTTTTTATTAATTTTTAATCACATTTGTTTAACGTTTAAAAAATAATAATTTTGTTTACATTTTTTATTTTATTTAGAAAAGTAATTGAGTAAATCTTCAATTTCTTTGAACAACGAAAACTAAAATTTCAAAGTGAAAGTTGTAAAAAAAAAAAGAGATAATAGATTAAAATGAAGTGTGATAAAAACATTTTGCATATCAACGATTCTCAATCTTATCCCTTTTGTTACATGTCTCAATTGTATAAACTATTTAACAATTGAAAAACTATTTAACAGTACGTTACATAATCTAAAAACCAAAATATGTAATTTTTAAATACTTATTCACAAAAACTGGCAAAACAATTTTCAATTAAACAAAAAAAAAAAAAACTAAACTAAACCCCAACTAAATTGATTTTCATGAATTTAAATTATAATAATTATTTACTTTAAAAAATCTGAACTCAGACAAATTAATGGTATTAAATTATGTATCCAAAATTACTAACAGCATAATTTTATTAATTTTCAATTTTGAAAAAAAATCTACTGAATTTCTAAAAATTATCAAGTGCTATTTCTATTAATCTAAGAAAGCAACAGCTTTATTTTCCATCTTTTCTAAAATATATGGTTCTGCCAAATGATACTCTATTATCAAAAGTTTTAATACAAACATTAGCAAAAAAAATTTAAAAATAAAAATATTAAATGTACCTAAAATTCAAGATAGCAAGGAAAGAAGTTACTTAAACAAATTCATTTATAAGATCATAAAATGACATGCCACCCAATCATGATCAGAACCGTTTTTAAAAGAATAAATAGGATAAAAAAATAAGAATAGAGAATAAAAAATAAATAAGAATAAAAAAATACGAATAAATAGGATAAAAAATAAATAAGAATAAATAGGATAAAAAAATAAATAAGTATAAGTAATAGGATAAAAAAACATTACTGAGTACAATGCTAAAATAGATATTACCTTATCCTCAGCACATTTAGTCCCATCAGTCACCAAACCCAAGTCACGAATATCGTCAGTGATAGTACCGGAGGTAACTCTATCAAATTAAATAAAAATGAAACATTTTCATTACTGATAAGTTTGTGAATTTCTAAGTACTTTATAGTAAGCAAGTTAATATTTAAGAATTATCTCTTACTTGCATTCGTATTCTGTACCCGCGATCGATGCAATTGTTCTTGTATATTGCATATCCTTATTTGCGATCATAGGTGCACGTGATCCACGCTGGCATTGCAGAGATCCGCACTTCATATTACTAAACAAAACAATTTTAACACATTATATTTATAACTAATTTATGACATATTAGCCCTAATTATAAAATATTTGCATTAGTTAATTTACAACATATTTGTATATAATTAAGAGCTGCTATGTATGATTTTCACATGTTTAGAATAATAAACAGCTTTTAAAATTTTTTGCAAGTGCAGTTATCAGAAAAAAAGTTTCCCATAGCCCATAAAAAGAAACAAATCATAATTCCAGGAAAGATTTATTGCAAAAATACAGCCATATTTAAGGTACTTATCAACATAAGAACAATCAGATTATGACACTTGTCATACCATAAGTAATAATGACAAATTATGAAGTATGTAATGAATAGTTCCAAGAAATTGAAGGGGAAAGATATACTTGTAAATGAAAAAACTGCATCAACTTCAAAAACTTAACAGGAAAAAGTCTATATATTTGAAGCTTTTAAAATAAAAAAAACTCATTATCAAGATACACCAACAAGTATACGAGGAAAACAAAACCGATTTGAAAGAAGAACACAACATAGCTTACAGAAAAAATTATGACATCTCATAGAAATAATATTGCAGAGTGTGTAGCCAGATTTTTCAGCAAAAAATAAGCACCTTTTAAGTACTTTTCAAGAACTCTAAAAATATTTTTAATCACTTTTCTAAAAAAATCATGATTAGGATCTGTGCAGTAATAAAAAAACTTTTTCTATCATTTAAAGTTCTTAATTTATAAACATAAAATCAATAAAATTCAAAAACTTTACGTACCTAATTATGATAAAATAACTAGTTTCTGATAAATATAGCAGAGAAAATTGAAAAAATCATGCATTTTTTGAAATTTATAACGACAATTGACAGGGAAAAGAAAAATATCTTGTTAAAATATAGAAAATTAAGCATTTTTTACAAACCCTGAATTAAAAAAAGCACCTTTAAGGGCATTTAAAAAATCGAAAATAAGCACCTTTAAGGGCTTTTAAAAAATCGAAAATAAGCACCTTTAAGCCATTTTTAAAAATGCTACCTGTATTGGCATCTCATAGATATAACATTGGCCAAAATAGGCTAAATTCATGCAGGATATGATTCCAAACACATTGAAAGGATGTTCATATGACTGAATGAAGATTCCAGGACAACAAAATGACAAAAAATCAGCTTAATATTGACAGTCATATCAAATCATTTTGAAACTTAATTCCAGACTATCCATGGCACCCCCGTTTTAAGTGCTATAAACAAGTAGAATTTTTCTATATCAAATTTTGAAGTTAAAAAAGTTTTTCCATCAACAAATAATGAATTACTTTTATTTTTAATTCCCAAAACTTCTGGGCAAAAACATATAATTTAGAAATTTTGAAAATTTCTTGTGGGTAAAGTAGCTGATTAGTAATATTATAAAGAAAAAGACATACTCTTCAGTACACTTTATAAAACCTCCTTGTCCATCAGATCCACAGTTACCGCTAAGCGTACCTTGGGTGTTAAACTGACGATAGCATTGTAGTTCAGACTGCATGGCTCCTACAACAAAAAAAATATAATGAAATTTCTTCATAAACTAAAATAAACAATAAAGAGAATGCTTCTGTAAAGTAAAGGCTTAGAATTCAAGAGAATTAATTCACTAACTAGAATACATTAAAAATAATTAATATCCGTGAATCATTAGTGGATCATCTCTTCAAAACTCACATCTACTTTAAATAGACCATTTGACTAAATTTAAATTACATTAAGTAAAGCAAATTTACTAAATTCTCTCTGGATCTGAATTAGAAAAATAAAAATCATTAATGTAAGCAATTGAAAAAAAAATATGCATGGTTGAAACTATGTTAATATAAATCATAATTACAACAATACATAAAAGATTGAAATTTACTTAAAATATTTTTCCAACAAGATGTTATGTGCAGCAAAATATAATATTTTATTATTCTCAAATCAATAAAAAGAATAAGAACATACCAACTCCCCATAAAAATTCACACTGGTCTTCTGGTGTTGGACAGCTACCATGGAAGCAATAGCCAGCTCCATTCTTACAAGGTGCACCATTCTTCTTAAATAAATCATTCGGACACTGGAAAGAAATTTAAATCTTAAAATAGTATTAGGTATTTATCGTTTTAATAAAAAATAAGATTATACTTAGCAAAATTCTATTAATAAACACTTCACTTTTAAACAGGACAAATTTGAAGTGATAAAGAGATGAGTGTTAAAGTAAACTGAGAAAAATCTTAAAATAGTATTAGGTATTTATCATTTTAATAAAAAATAAGATAATACTTAGCAAGATTCTATTAATAAACACTTAACTTTTTAAACAGGTACAAATTTGAAATGATAAGGAGAAGAGTGTTAAAGTAAACTAAGCAAAAAAATACTGAAAAAAGTAACCAATATTTTTGAATAAATGAATAGAGTATAGGAAGGATCTGTAAATTAAATGGGACTAAAACTTATAGAGAGAAGAACTAAGACAAACTTGGAAACATTTGGCAACAAACTGAGAAATAAATGCCTTATTCTTATTAAATACATCAATGGACATTGTTAAGGAAATGGATAGGCAGCAACATAAAATAAATGCCTTAAGAAAAAATAAGTAAATAAAACTAGTTTCATTATTAATTTTAATATATCAACTAATATGAATGCTTATTTAATTGATAAAAATGAAATATAAAAAACAGGCAGATAAACAACAGTTCAATAGTAAAATGCACAATTGTTTTTGAAAACACTGACGGGACACACTGAAAACTCTAAACACTAGAGAAGGTATATGAAATGACAACAAATAAAATGCTCAAATTGCATACATCAATTGTTAAAAGAATAAGAAAGCTTGATTGTTAAAAAATAAGTTAGTTTAAAAACAATTAATTTTAAATAGAATTTTTTTTTAAAAATTAAGTTTAAAATTAAAATAATAATTTTTTTAAATTATATCAAAAATGCTATTAGTTTGAAAATGAGTTAGTTTGGGACCTAGAATATTAGCTAAATTATAGTTCAATAATAAAACAGCTGCAAATAAAATGCTTTGTTTATTTATTGAATTGAATTGGGCACTCTGCGATAAAATATAAGTTAAAAAAAAGATCTTTTAACTACAAGAGAATTAATAAAATATCAAACAGAAAATGAAAAGCAAATTAGTGCACGCATTGTTGAAAAATTTAATGCTTAAAACATTATGGATCTAGCCAAAGTTGCATGAAAAATTTCTTACAGAACATTACTTTTTCATTGAAAGCATGTGCAGATAGAGAGAATTTTGTTCTTAAAGAAAAAAACCAGTTCAAAAAGAAAGAACTTTATCTATAAAACTACAATTCATCAACTTGCAAATGGAGAAAAGGCAGAAATTCTATAAAAATAGGTGCAGAGACAATAATAATAATAATAAAAATTAAAACTTTATGACAGACAAAAGTTGAAATTACTTGTCCATCTTTGCCATCACAATATTCTGGAATATCACATTCAGTTATAGACAGACGACACATGTGATTCGAACCGCGAAGCTAAAATAAAAACAACAAAAAACCATTGTACATAATGCAAAATTTAAACAATATGTTAATAAATACTAATAAAAGTATTTCAATATGTTTGTTAAAAGTTTAATGAAATACAATAATACTATAGGTATTTAGTTTCAAAACTAGACCAATATAATTTCCTCCACCAAAATCAATTCTTTTGTAAAATATTAATAGCTCCTTAATCCCTTTGAGTAATTCAGATCAAAAACAGTTCTTTATATTTTAATTTTATAAACTTTTTAAAAATATTTCAAAAAGAAAATGAATGTATATACATATACTAAAGCAACTAAAAAAGAACGTTAGTTAGGAAAATATTTCATTATTTATTTCGGAGAAATACAATTCAACTACTAAATAAATCAGATACTGTAATTTAATTTTTCAATTAAAATAAGTAGGTTAAAACCAAAAAATATAAAAATCAACTAAAACAGAAATATCTTTTAATTTACAACAAAACAACAATACATTGCTAACAACACTTACTCCCATTAAATTTTTCCAAAAGCATTTAACTAAAGTATAAATTCTGAAAATAATGGATCAAACAGGATTTGATAGCCAACATCACAATTTTATTTAATTTTTGTATCACATATTTATTAAGAAAGCAAATGTTTTATAATTTACTTTAAAAGTACTTAATTTTAAAAGTATTACATAAATCTGATACCTTGCAGTCTTCACAACATGGACCCATAGAGCATTCAGCTTCCACTCTTAATTTACAAGTAATTGGATCACAGCATGGATCAGCTTGCATACATTCCTAAAATATAAGAGTTAATATAAATTAAATGATATAATTACAGGATTATTTTTAAATAATTCTGATTAATAATTTTTTGTTATTAACTATTAAAAATTTGATATCAAAATTATGAAGCAATGAACAAAAATGATCTAGATTAGCTTTTTTATCATTGTTTAATAATTCAGTTTCATAATTAATATAGATTCAAAAAAGTGAAATAACATGAAATATATTTAACACTATTTTAATTATTTTTGTTTTTAAAATTCTATATTCTTTAAAAAGGAAAAAGGTTTTTTTCTTTTTTAAAATCTTGAAAAATTCTTTTTTTAAAAACTTGATTTCATACTCATGAAAGAATTTGGCCTTTTTAGTATGCCTAAATTTCCCTTGATTGTCGAATGTCCAACAAATTTAACAGTTAGTAAAAGAAAAGTTTAGTGGAAGGTTTTAAATGGATTTTGGAAACAGATTTTTTGGTAAGAGATCTGGTTATATTCTTATTTGACAATACAACTTTGATTTATTTAGTCAACTTATTAAATTTCAGAGATCTCATTGGAATATGAAATCAGACACTAAGTGCTTTTGGAGTGGAAGAAAATTGCAAGTGAAAGCGGCAAATAAACAGTGAAAATGTAAATGTAAAATTGTAATCAGTTTAAGTGAATTTTTCTTAATATAAGTAGAAAATTTATAAAAGACTTATCAGCCGGAAACAACTTATCGTGGGGAAATCCAATCCTAAGAACAGGAATGTTTGAAACAACATTTTTCAACAAGTAAACACTCACTTTAAACTATAGCAACCCAAAAGAAGAATAAAAAATATATTTAATTGACAGCAAGAACAGCATTAAAAAATCAATTAGAAATTGCAAATTTCCAAAAACAAATTACAACCAAGTAATGTAATTTATTATTATAATCTGTTCCTTCTCTTGTGTAAGTAAAAGGAATGTTATTTTAATGAAATATCAAAATAAGAAAAAAACTAAGATGTTTAAAGATAAAATTTTAATTTATAAATGCATATTAATTCACAAAACTATAAAATATGAATACTTACTTCGATGCTACCACAATCACACTCCTCTCCTTTTTCTACCACGTTGTTGCCACACGTTCGAAAATCTTCAAGCTAAAAACACATTCCAAAGATTAATAAAATTCTTATATATAAAAAACGAATCTAAAAAGTTAATCAAATTCAAATTTGCACAAAAAAAAAATAAATCAGAATTACAACTTAACTGCAATTCTCTTTAAACATTAAATGTTTCACTGGAAAAATTTTGTAAATTGTCATGAGATAAAAATAATTCCGTTAAGCAAATGGAATAATATAGACAGAATACACAAAGAAATAAAACTGTAAATTTATGTGCAGAAAAATTGTTATGAATTTTAATAACTAAAAATTTAATTTTGATAAATAAATAAATAGAATAAGAAACTTTCAACAAAATCAATAAAGCTAGTTTTCACCCCTTGCTTATGGTGCTTAGTATGATGAAGCCAGCTATTCTGGCCCACCTGCTATATCAGCCGTACACAAAAAGTTAATTTATTTATAATTACAAAAAGTGTGAACCTAAAAATAAAAAAAGAAATATACATTACCTGATTAGGTTTGTTGAACAAACAAATACCATGGCCAATTCGTAGAGCATTTATATAATCTTGTAAGCTACAGGTTGAAAAATGATATGGCTGGATTTTATTTACCCCTCTGTCAAAGAATGAATAAAACAAATTTATAAGATAAAGTTTACATACTCAATAGTCAAATCAAAATAGAGATAAAAAATCATACCCAAAAAAAACTTGCAAAAAAGTAACAAAAATACACAATTTCATAGAATTAATTTAAACTAGAAAAACACATTACAAGAACATAAAACAAATAAAAAGATGAAAAGAAAATCTAGATTTGCACAGCCAAGCAGTATCCTCATTCCGATTAATACCAGTGGTAATTTAAATTAAATTAATCATTATAGAATAGTAGGAAAATTTTTAATGTAGTATTAGTAAAAAAAAGATTCTTTATGCAAAAAATACAACAAAAAAAATCTTCATGTATATGAAACAAAACCTATGATAAACACACATTAAAGTACATTTAACAGATAAAAAATAACATTTACAAGATATGTGTTATTTATATAAAATTTTTACAACAGAAAAATGAATCTTTTAGAATTGTACTTACAAGATAGTTTGAGCCATGATACATCCCCACCAATCATCACATTTACAGTCAGCTAAATAAAATTAAAAACATTTTCTTTTAAAAACTAAATATTGTAAAAAAATAATTATTAATTGCAATATGTTATGAAATTAAAATGTCTTAAAATATCTATTCAAAGTATCTAGTTCCTACCTTCAGATATTAACTTAGTTCTTATTTTATTCAATCAACACATAAAGATAAAATAATTGCATTATTTAGAAAAAATTCTTTAGGTACAAAATGTCAACAAAATGACCAGTCAGACAAAACTTAATTGAAACATTGTAAATTTTAAATTGCCAATATTGATTTACTCACTTCCGTTGTAGTGGTCATGGCTCATACCAATGTTATGCCCCAACATGTGTGTTACAGTACTGGCAATTAGATGAGGCTCATATATATTTGAATCCTATATTTAGGAAATAAAAGCAGTCAAAATTTTTTTTTTTAAATAATTATTCACCAATCATATATATTCTTTAAAGAAGAATAAAGGCATAAAGCATGTTTATTAAAAAAATAACTTCTGATTATCATATGCATAATAAGATTCGATACTTGACAGAAACTAAGTAACTGAAAATTAAAACAAAGGCAAAAGAATTGGCAATTGATATTGAACAAGGAATTAAAAAATACAAGGAAAGACAACTAACATTTAGGAAGAAAAAGAAAAAAATGAAGAAATTTTTACAACATAACTTTAAAGTAAAATAATTAAGATTCACGAATAAACGTGAACATGTTAATAAATTTAACTTGTTATAATTATAATTGAACAATATATACACAACTTTAAAAGAAGAAATAATGAATTTCATCGCAATCATTTAAAAATTATTACTTTCCTTTTTTATATTAAAAATAAAACATTAAAGCTTAAAAAATTGAGCTCCACCTAATTAACACTAACAGCAAACCCCTATATCTTTAAATTTAATATGAAAATGAAAAAATAGAAAACATCAAAGCAATAAAGGGAGAGCTTCACCTCATTAACGCCAACTGCTTTTGCTGTGCATATACTATCAGGAACTGCCATACCAACTTCATGGCCTCGGAACCTCCTACCACTAAAATGGCAATAAATGCATATAAGTTTAATAAGTAATATACAATAAAAAATTAATTTAAATAAAAGTAACAACCATTTTAGTACATTAATTTTTTCTGACTAATTTTAACCAATAGTTTTTGTTTGTATATGAAAAAAATTATTATAACTGGATGGTATAATTTTTTATATTCTCACATAAATGTACTACTTCAATGCATACATAATCTTGAAATAATAATAATTTAATATTTGCCTAAAATGCAAGGAAACTGTTTAATATAGCAAAAAGTAAAATAAAAAAAGTTCATTAAGACGCTTCAAGGACATGGCACCTAAGGAGTAATCCTCAGTGGAAGGAAACACAAAATAAAAATTTACAAAGTTACATAATTTTATAATAAATAACTATGACTATATAATTCATTTATGAAACTTAATTTTAAATTTTACCTAACATAAATGTTACACAATCAAAATTTAAAATTATTAAGATGCATTTAAAAACGTTTATTTGCTATTTTAAAAAATTATAAAAATTTTCAATATTGGATGAGGTTGAAATATTTGCTAATAAGCTGTGGATTGATAAGAACTTGGTATATTTTATTCAAAATATATGGTAAGTATAATTAATTTATAATATTTGTAACTAACTGTAAAATAAAAGATTATAAAATAAAATGTTTTAAAATGACATAATTGCTCATCTGTAAAATGGTCTCATACTAATCTGATCATATTTAAAACCTACAAAGACAAAAACATCCCATTTTGTCTGGTCCACTTTGTTTCTCTAATGTTTAACTTACTTATAAGATCGAAAAAGATATTCATTAATTAAAATTTTAATAAGAAATTAATCTCAATTTTTAATATCTAAATCAAGTGTGGAGTTAAATTGCTATTCTGGATTACATGGTCATTGTCAATAATTTTGCAGATAATAGTAAATAAGTAAAATGCTGATAATCGTAATAAGGAGCAGATAAAACATGAAATGAAATTTTAACATTGTTTTTCAAACGAAAAATATAATTTACAAATCTTTGAGGAACATTATAAACATTTAACGATATACACCCAAGAATCTTTATAGTAAAAAATCAACCATTTTAGAATTAAAAATCAAGTCTATAAAAACAAAATAAAAAGCAAATACTTGAACTAATATGCATTGTAAAGCACTCATGTACAAAGGCAGTCATTAATGTTATTATGTACATCCCTGCCAACATTGGAGAAGATAAATAACGGAGATTTTACCAGTCCATTTTTAGGCCATGAGTAAAGTTTTGATAAATCATGCATAATCATGTAAATTAAAAAGAGAAATTCAAAATTGGAAATAATATAAGCACTTACATTTAGCAAAGTAAAAAATATCAATATAAATCTTAATCTACAGAAGATTTTTTTAAACCATTATTTATAACTACATAAACTATTAACACTCAAACTACTGCAGTACTGGCAATAGCAGCATTTGTTGAAGAATAGGAGAAGTATTTTTGCAATCAGCGGATATTTAATCGCCAAATTGTTTTAATTTAAATTTCTTCAGTAAATACGAGGAAATTTGAGAATATATGGGCAAACAGGACATAGTTGTAAAATACAGGAGTCTTCGTTAAAAAACAGGAGATTTGGCAGGTATGTCTGTATAACATAAACACAGTTGAAAATTTTTCTCACTAAAAAACACATTTCATCTTAATAAAAATTATGAGACTGTAAATGTTTCCATAAATTTGCTCAACTTACGTTAACAAATGTGTAGCATCTTTGGCAACCTTATAAAGTTTACGAGAAGCATATTCCATGAAATTCAACAGTGTTTGACGGACATCACTGTTGAATTCCATCTGGTCTTTATGGGCCCATGTTTCTACATATACAACTGAGACTCGAGTATTAACGGTACGAAAATACTGAAAGCAAACAATGCAATTATAAAACAACATAAAGAAAAACATTATAATGTACAGTGCATAACAAAGCAAAAACCTTTAATAACTTTTGATCTAATGATCACTTTCGCTCACTTTCTAAGACTGGATTTTAAGGGTTTAAGGGACGAACCTTATATACAATAATTAATTAGTACAGATGATATTTTAAGTTATGACATCAGATGCAAAATAAATATAACTTTTTTTCCCTCATGGATTGGGGTTTTGACCCCAAAATATATGGGGTAACAGAAATGAAGTAAATAAATGCAAAAATGCCCCATGAAAGTTTAGGGCTCTAAATTGCACTTTCACCTTTTGTATATTTGGCCATCTTAAAGAAGTAATATATCTATATATGTTTGGATTCTCAACATCTATTTTAAAGTTTATTCAATGACAAAAATATTGGGTAAGAGAGAAATTTTGCACAATTTACCCAAGGATTAAGTATACTAACTGCCAGTTTTATATTTCTTAAATTAATCATAAAAAATTTATTTCAGTACAATAATAAAAGAACTACAAAGTTGAAAAAAAGTAAGGGCAGTTTTGCCTTTATTTATTTTATTTATCATTTCCATTACTTTTTTGATTACTTTAATTTTCAAATTCATGTAGTAGGAAAACATAGACTTTTGAGCCATAAAATTTTTCATTTTACATAAATTGTTAATACTTATTATGCATAACTCATGTATTCTGAGAATTAATTGATGCATTAAAACGTTGTGGAACTGTTTAATTTTATTACTATATTTAGATTTGTAACAGTTTGAAAAGTATTGAAGAAAAATATTAAATTAAATACTCAATTTAAACATATACAAATTGCATAGCAAAAATTCATTTCAGATAAATTAATAGAACTTAAAATTAAAAAGAAAAATTTCACAATTCAATTTAGAAAATAATTATGCTATAAACATACCATGTCAACACAGTTGACAATTTGGATGGCATCATTCACAACTTCATTTCTACTTGCATTTCGATTATCAAACTGAAATTTAAATCAAAAATATATGTATAAGTTATTAAAATAACAAACAAATTTTAAGCACAGAATTCAAATAATCAAACAGATGGTTCATTCTTACCATAGCCTGATCAAGAACTAAAGCCAATTCTACAAATTTGTTAACTTGCCTAACATCTTTCTAAACAAAAAATACAGAACGTTACCCTTGGGTAAGAGAATATAAAATGCATCCAAATATAACTTGAAAATTTAAAAATGACATACTTTTAACCGAGTTTGAGTTGGTCTCATACGAAACATTTTAAAACCCCATTCGTGCATTCCTGTGTTCCCTAATAAGATAAAAGAGAAATTATTAATACAAGATTAACATAAGTAAAAACTTACATAATCCTCTAAGCATCTGCTGCATCCCCCACCCCAAACTTTAATCTGGTTTTCCCCATAAAATAACTAATTTCATATTTCAGCTATATAATTTCATGTTAAGATTTTACGTAAAAAGAAAAATTCCATACAATTTTACCAAGATGTTTGTTTATACGAGAGTTCAAAAATAAATTATTTGACAAATAATTTGTTACTTCCTTTAATTTAGTTTCATATGGACTTTTAAACCAAAGAATAAGTTATCCTTGAATTGTTCTGTGAGAGATTTTTGTTTCCGAGTTTAAATTGAACTTGTAATTTGTATTACAAATCCTCTGTTCTTATTTTTCTTCACAATCCCTTTAATTTTCTGTCATTATGGTTTGTCATTTTCTTTGATCTATGACCCTTTCTTTTGATGTTGAGCTTTTGTACTACCTTCAGTTAAATGCACTTTAAAAAATCTTTACTACTCTTCAATTTGATATTTTAAGTTGTTTTGAAATGTCAGATTCTTTGTTGATGACATCATAAAACAAAAACAACCAGTTTAGAAATGCTTCTGGCATACGACCAATCAGCATGAAAAATAATGAACAGCACAGAGATGTTGATTTGTCTGCATATTTCAAGATATTATTCATAATTACTCAAAAACCTACTGAAAACATGGTTCAAGAAAATGAATTTGGTGAACATACTGAAAAAACACTTTGTCTGCTAGTTTTACTAAGTTTAAAAAACATACTATTTGACTAGTAGAGTCGTTTACTTTAAATTTTTAAAGATATTAGGGGTATGTTTTTGATAACTAAAATTTAAGGAAAATGAATAACAGGGTGCGTAGCCAAATTATTCAACAAAAATAAGCAACTTTTAAGCACTTTTCAAGCACACTCATAATATTTTTAAGCACTCTAAAAAAGTATCATAACTAGACAAGGTTGGAAAGTTTTTGCCAATTTACGGTTTTATCGGGTTTTAACCGCCATGTCAAAAAAAAAACTTTTGTCATTGTTTTTGACAATTGTCAAAATTTTTTAATCAGGTAAATCAAATGGCACTTTCATACGCTACAGACTGACGATGCGCCGAAATAGATTGGGGTTGAATTAATTGTGAAAACGTTGAATAGACTAATGTGAACAGTGTTTTGCTGCATAATTCATAGCGAAAATCAACAGAGTAAAGGAAAAATCTCATTTTGGATAAGGGAAAATTAAGCACTTTTTAAAAACACCCAATGAAAAAATTCCCTTTAAGGGCTTTTAAAAAAACGAAAATAAGCACCTTTCAGCACTTTTTAAAAACGCCACGCACACTGGAATAATAAAATCAATTGGTAAGTGAGAATTCATTTGGTCATAATATTAATTTATTTTCGTCGACAGAAAAAAATTCTGGGATAATAAGCTAATGCTTTAACCATTTAATTCTGTCTAGATGTATTTGATGTAGGCAGTGGACTATCACAGTAAAAGTAAATATTCTTTCATGTGCATCATTAACTTTATTAGAATTTTTTGGGAAAAATTTTTTTCTTTTGTAAAAAACTCAATGAATTGTCAATGCACAAATGTGAACAAAGTGTAAAATTCAAAGGTTTACAATTTAAATTGAAATCTTTTAAATATTAATGTGTGGGAACCCTTCACAAACTACCCTTCTGATAACCAAGCCCTGCTTTTGACATATGTAGATGTTCTCAAATCACAATAATTATAACTATGATTATTTGACAACATTTTGTTACTGCAATTAATAGAATGTTTGTTCCATTTAAAAAAATATTTAACTGAATTAAAGAGGGAAAGGAATGAAGAAAACAGTTATTCATTCTCCTCTATCATGCAACAGTGGATGAAAAAAGCATTGGATACTAATTATGGTGAGGTGCTTAAAATTATCTTTAAAATTTGACATGTTGTTTCATGATATTTAGTAATTTGATATTATTTAACAAGACAATTGCAAATTTTACATAATTCACAATAACAATTGAATACATATAAAATTCAAGGATTTATAAATTGAAAATAAATTTAATGGAAAAAATATTACCACAAGTATGTTTATCTTTTGATTCAGAAAAATAACGATATATAACATGTGGATGTTTTTTCTGCAAAAAAATAACATGTTTACTTTTTTTAAATAAAAAACAGACTTCTTATAACAAACATTCAAAAAAAATTTTTTTTCTGATAAAATACACTATTGTTCAAAGCACTTCAAGTTAGATATGAAAAATGCTTAAAAAAGACACTCATATAAAGTTCATAAACAGTATATAAGTACACTTTCAAAACTCAAACATGTTTACACAAAATTTCATAAATATATTCTCTGCCACTAAGTTTTTAAATTATGACCCACTATAGCAATTACTTCAGATGTACCATTGTTTCTTTATATTATTTTTTTCATTATAGTATTTATCTCAGGCTCGCCAAATTTTAAATCATCTTTTACAACACATACATCAAATAAAAATTACAGCTTAAAATATATGTGAAAAACTGATTTTTTGAAGAAAAAATGATTTTCAAATAAGAAGAAATAAAACTAAGACAAAAATATTGGAATGCCATTCCAGCTCCATAATTTCCGGAATGTCAACCAAAAATCTCTGGCATCACTACATTACTCGAAGGACATTTTGCGTTGTTTTACAGAAAAGTACGTTTCCCTCCAACAAACTAATAATGGGTAATAATTTTTTAAAAATGATGTAGAAATAAACTTTTTTTTAAGGATATCATGATAACATTACCATTTGATGGATATTTAAAATAAAATCTATACCATCTAAAATGATATAAAAAAAATTAGTTGACTCTTGTTTAGTTTAGATTAAACTAAAAAACTACCAAAATTTAGCAATCTTTTATAAATAATATTTGTTAAAAAAAGCATAATTAAAGAACTGTATAAGTATATTAAAAGTAAAGTACATTACATTACTGAGCAAAAAAACATGTAATATTCCTAGAAAAGTATGTAACAATCTCGCAGAAATGAATTTATGGTGTAAAAACTATTTATGATACTGTCAAAATATAATTGAATAGGAATTTTTTTCTAAAATACTTATTTTCAACACAGTAAAATTTTAAAGTAAAATTTTACTGTGTTGAAAAGTTCAAATTAAAAAGTTAAAATTTCAAAACTTTTGTGAATATTAACGTTATATTGTACACAAGAATAAACAGGATAACGATAACTTAAATCAGATTATCAAAACCAATAATTTATTATAAGTTATTTGATTTTTAAAAAAACAAACAATTGTTTTATTCAATTAAAAAAGATCTTTAAAAAAAATTTAAATAAGTAAATAATTGACCATTTTAATTAAATAAGTTCCGATAAAACATATTCCTTTTAGAATTATGTTACTAATTTTTATAGTTTTCTGTGAATGAGTTTCATAATTTCTATCTGAATCAATAAGTAAAGAACAAAACTTAATGTCCATTTTCTCAGTAAATTATTAGTCACATAACCTTTATGCTTAGTATATATTCAAACATTAGTTACAACAAACCAATTCTATTTTATTATTTTTTTTTTTAAATTTTTAAATTCAACATCTCTTTTTTAGTTTATAAATTTCCATACCCTAGGACTTAACTATTTTAATACACTTTCTTAGAATAGAGAAATCTTTCTTAAGCATTAGAGTAATAAAAACATATTAAGAAAAAATAAATCCTTGACGAAAATTTTAATTTTACACTTACATGCTTTTGCCTTTCATTTTAAATATTTTACTCTTACTAAAGTGTAAAGTGCAATCGTATAAAATTATATTAAAATATTTATAATGGGTCTGCAATTAATTCAAAAGATAGAGACAAAATGTCACAATGAATAAATTAGTATGACAATAAATTTTATACTGCTAAAAAAATTTTTAAAGCAATTCAATTTTTTAAAAAACAATTGTTTTTGCTAAAAAAAATGCAATTTTTAAAGAGAAAAAGAGAACTCCTCAACATAATTTTTCAATGGATTGCCTCATACACATTATCAAAATAATGTATTGGAATTACAATCGTAAACCTAAGAACTTGCTTTTGATTTCTCCCTTCATTTTAAATATTTTAAAAGTGATAAATGCAATCAAGTAAAGTTATATAAAAATATTTATAATGAGCTTGCAATTCATGCAACAGTTATAGATAAAATAGTGCAATAATGAATTAATTTTATTATACATGATATGAGTACGACTGAGTTACAATTGACAACATGAGGATAGTAACACTTTTTTTAAAATTTTTCTAGCTACTTGCTGGTAAAATTTCAAAAAAAATAATAATGCTTAATAATGTATGAATAAAGTGCATTTTTACTGTTAAAATATTTTTCGAAAAATCAAAACAATAAAATTTTTAAAGATTAAACAAAAAATGAATTTTTCAGCAAAGCTTTTTTCGTGAAGTAAAACAATTTTCAAGGTGTGCCACACATATATGTATCAAGAAAAATTTGTTTTAATTATAATTTTTAATCTAACAATATGCTAATGAAAATAATATAATGCAGTAAAAAAACTTAATTTATCATTTTATCAAAAAATGATAAGTAATCAAACTTACTGATTGATCCCCCCCATAAAATGGATGAATAACAAATGTGTCGTTTCCAACATGAAGAATCCCACTAGAAAATAAAATAAATATTTATAAGACAAACAAATAAATAAAACACAAATAATAAAAATACATTGTCAGAAAAAAACACAAATAATCTAAGACAATTTTTATTTTAGACATATCATTCAAGAATGCATTTTTACTATAAATAAAACTGATAAAAAAGATCATTAGTTAAAATAGTATATTTTCTGAAAAGATTACTTAAGTTAATGTTAAAATTCATAAAAAAATTTACTTTACTGCAAAAAAAATATAAGTGTTAAAATTCATTAAAAAAATATACTTTACTCTAAAGAAAAAATATAACTTTGGTTCATTCAAAGAAAAGTTTTAACTAAATGTAATGTAATTCATATATGAAATAAAGAAATAAAAATTGAAAGAAAATTTTCATTTTCTGACTTTTAAAACATATGTTTTAACAAAATTTTAAATAAAATTAAAATTCTGAATTTTAAAAATCACTTTAATTAATAAATAAACCATGAGTGTAAGAGTAAATATGTAAAATTATTACCTAACCCCATTACATGTGCGAAAGGCAGCAATGGCTCCAGGATAGTCTTTTGTAGTTCCATGATAGTAACAATGTTCTATTTCCTAAAATTCAACAATAGAATTTCAATACTCAAACTATAGCGATTTAGAAAGAACAACTCACTGTGCATATACCTGTGAAGTGATTTTGTCTAGTATATTAAATTAAACAAATTCACAAATCATAAAGGTGAAGTTGGTTCAAATAGTCATTAAACTTTCAACTGAGTTTGTATTTCAACAATTAATAATATAATTCAAACTTCCATTCAAATATTGGCACAATTATCAATATTCAGTAAAATTTTAGAAGACTAGTACTTAAGCCACATAAAATAGTGAAATACAATAATTTTGGAATGAAATAAAATTAGAAAACTTCAGGTTTTTTACACTAAAACCTCTCATAAGAATTATTTTTATTTAAAAAAGAAAAAAAAGAAATATTAAAAAGTATTTAAACATATATTCATCATCAAATTTTTTTAGAAAAAAACATGAAATGACTAAAGAAAACTATTTAACCGGTAATTCCATAATACTAAAAAAATTTTTATAGTATAATTTTTATAAAAAATTTATGAAAAAATTATGTTTAAAAAATACTATTTTACTATTTGTCATAAAATATTTCAATATATAAAAAATGAAGATAAATGTTTTTTTTTAAATGTTTAAATATATCTCATTAGAATGTGCAAAAAATCAAAACTCGTTAAAAATGCATATTACATTGTTAATCAATGGGAAATTTTTTCAGACTCCACTATTACTATTTTTAGAAAAGAGAGAAATTACCAGTATAACAAAGTAAAATGGTTTAACATTTAAATAATATATTTTATTTTCAAAGCAATAAAAAAAAAAATTTAAAAACCCAATCATTGTAGCTTATTATAACTTAGCACCCATAAACCACACATATTTTTCTAAAAAAGAAACATTTCATACTTTAAAATTTAAAACATAAGAAAAACACAGGAATCAAAAGACATTAAAATTGGTACAACATTATTACTGAAACACTAAAAACTACAAAAATAACTTTTTTAGAATGCACATCTATATCAAAGCATAAGTACTTGAAAAGGGTGAAATAGAATGTAAGTGTTTAGGAGTCAGGAATAAAGTTCAAAAGTTTTATATGTTTTGGAACATTTTTCAAAGCACAGCTTGGGACAGTAGTTTAATTTAACTTGGAATTATAATTAAAAATTCTAACTAAAGTAGCAATTTTCATATGAAAATTTATCTTTTTGTGCTCAATTCAACAAATTTGTGATAGATTTTCTTCGAACATATTTTACAAAATTTTCTGTAGTTTAAGAGCTTAGATAATATAAATATGAACAATTTTGCACTATTTTGGAGTAGGCTAAAATCAATCTGTAAAATATTTTGGAGCAAGTTGAGAACAATTTATTACTAAGTTTTGAAACAGGTTAGGAAGAATTTTACACAATATTCTGGCGCAAATTGGTAAAAATTTTGAAAAATATTTTGGAATAAGCTGAGGACAACATTGTTCAATACTTAAGAGTAGTTAGAGTGAGTAGAATTGAAACCATATCACTGAATTCATAATCTAATAAAATAGTTTTCATACCTGAGTAGAAATTTGCTGAGCCCCTTCGGGAAGAAAGTGCTTTTGTATTAAATTTGGTGCAAGTAGGTGCCTAAAAAAAAGAACAAAAAAGATGTAAAACAAATAAAACAACAAACTAAGCATTATGAATAATTAAGTGCCACTTACGTATTGAGCTCTAAATCAATGCGAAATTTATAATTAAAAGCTTTAATGAGCAGTGATGTTTGATGATAATGCTCCCCAGTCTAAATAAAAAAAATTAAAAAAATATGTTAATAAATAAAATTGTAGAATACATACTTATAATAATGAAACACATGGACATTTATTAAGAGATCTAAAGAAAAATTGACAAATTTTTGATGAAAAAAAGTGACATTTCTGTTATGTTGTGTTGCTCTAAGTTTTTCCTATACTAATTTTTTCATCATCTGCTTCCTTTAATCGTCAATTTTAATTAACTGACGAAGTTAGTTTAATTAAGTTTAATTAGAATTTTAATTAACTGACGATTGCTAACTAAACTAAGTCTTCACACAATTACACGAAAATTTGGTTTTAAATACTTAAAACTGTAATATTAACAAATAATGCACTTGAATAATACTTTATAATTAAAATTTCGATTTTTAAGAACATTTAAAAATTGGAACTCAAGTTATTATTTGTCACTATATTTAAACGAATAATGGTAAGAAATTTTGAAAAAATTTCACTAAGTCGAATAAGAAAACAAAATTATTTTTAAAAATGCAAAGCTCTTTTTTAATCACCAGTTTTTTCCCTCTGTGCACCTTATTTTTCGTACATGGGGAAAGTCCTCTGATTTGGAGTTTTTAGGACTTGCTTTTGGAACTTTTTGAAACAAAACAGACGAAAAAGCTTAAGTAAAGAAAGTGAAAAGAGAAGAGTTGAGAGATTCCATGTTTCTCTTTTTTTGTTATAAAATAAACTTTTCATTTTAATACAAAATATTCCCCAACGCTGTAGCTTTTTCAACAAAATAAAAATTCATATGAAGTATACTAGAAATTGATAATTTGATTGGTGCATTTTAGGCAGAATGATCAAACTAGATTTAGTAAGAATGTTCCACGAGGGCCTAAAAATTCGGTAGGTAGGTACTTTATTGACTTCGCACTAGAGCTGCTCAATGGGCTATTTGCGATGGTCTGAGAAATACCCCTGAGGATGATCTGAAGACATGCCATCGCAATTTTGATCCTCTGCAGAGGGGATGGCTCCCCTGCTTAGGTAGACCAATGACCTGAGCGCGAAGTCGAGCACTTAACGGTATAACAGTTTAACGAGGACCGATATCGCGTCCTATCGGTCCCTACGCAGACTGATCTAAGTGGTCACTCACCCGCTTATTGACCGCAGCCAGTGATGTTTGACTTCGGTGTTCTACTGGGAACCGTGTTTAAGGCTAAGGTTATTCAGTTTCACCATCTAGGGCAAAGAAAACGACATTTGTCACACACAAATTCAAAGATACTCTTTTACCCTAATTAGGAAACATAAGAATGTTGTTGTCGGTTTACGTCGAACGAGAGCTGCACAATGGGTTATTGGCGACGGTCAGGGAAACAATCCTGAGGATGATTCGAAGACTATGGCATCAAAATTTTGATCCTCTGCAGAGGAGACGGCTTCCCTGCTTCGGTAGTCTGACGAGCTGAGTGTGAAGTTGAGCACTTCACGATAGAACACTTGAGGAAAATGATAATAGCGAACTATATAATTTTCAGCCGACATAACGTTGCCATTCCGTAGAATGTACAAAATAATTCAAAATATTTTTTCTTAAAAAAAAATAAAAATGAAAGAAAGAAAGAAAAGGTGCATAGATCACTAAAAAACATGTACAAATTTAAAAAATTGGGTAAACTTTTCTGCACTAACAATTTACACGAATAAATAACATTCTCGTTAATTGTCGCCTTACCAAAAAAGTATAGTATATATATGCATTTCTATGCAATATATTATGACTGTTAAATAAAAATTACTATCCACGATACTACACTTTAAATCAGGGATGGGCAAACTACGGCCCGCGGGCCAACTGTGGCCCCCCGGAAGGTTTAATCAGGCTCGCGGATAGAATTCTAACTTGCCTTTTCGTGGCGAATATAAACAATATACATTTATTTACTTGTCTACTTTGATTAAAGCTATTTTTGTTCTTTTTTAAGACCTTTTTACTTACTATTTTTGTTTTACAAAACATAAATTGATGGACAGACAACTTCAATTGGTGAAATGTTGAAAGCAGAAGTTCTCTATAGAATAGCCGTAGATTGGTGCCATCTGAAGCAGTTGTTTCTAAATATGCCAAAGTTTGAGTTTTACAAATCATTACCAAAGGCTAATTTCCCAAATTTAATATCTCAAGACCGGAAAATCAGTACTATTGTGCTTCCTCTTATATATGTGAATAAGTGTTTTCAACTATGAATCTTCGAAAAAATAATTTCAGAAGTAGACTAAGAGACAAAGATTTAGCCTCGTTATTTAAAATAAGTACATCTCACTTGGAATCTTAATGTAAGGAACTTTTAAAAATGAAACCGCAATTTCATTCTCATTAAATATTTAAATTAAAACTTGTATATCGTTTATTTTTCTTAATTTTAGAAAATTTTACTTAATCAACCAAACTTTTTTTTTTTCGATTTTTCGCCCTCGCCCAAAAAGTTTGCCCATCTCTGCTTTAAATAATGCAACAACGGGGACAATGCTAGATAATCGAACAGCACGCAAGTCTTTCGTTTGGACAGCCTAGATATTAAAGAAAATGCACAGATTTTAATAAAATAAGGACACACAACTAACTTACTTTATTGGCACCAGTTTCTCTAGTAGAAATGCCTAATTTAACATGTTGGCGAATTTGTACAGGATAAATTACTTCATAAATTCGACTAGGTATACTATTTATGAGTCTTTCATTTTCTGGATAAAGGCGTTTCAGCTTATCCGCAACTAAAAAAAAGAAAAGAAAAGGAATGAAAAATAATTTGTATTTCACGAAAGGAACAACCGAAAAAAAATACAGTCATAAAAGACTAATTATTTTTTTAAGATTTCTGATATATTTTCATCGAAGTCGATAATTTTGTATTCATTAGCTAACCCTTTATAATTATCTGTCGTTGGAAAAAAATGGAGATTATCTAAAACAAATAAAAAAAAGCACCATTTTTTAAAACTGCTAACCCTATTACAACCAAATAAATAAATATAAAAAATAAATAAATACAAAAAATAAATAAATATAAAAAATAAATAAATTCAGGTTGGAATTTTACAGAACCATAATCTTACAATGCATATAGTGATGCGTACTAGAATAAATTTATATTTTCTATTGAATTTCTCATAAAATAATAATAATTAGTTTATTATTATACGAATAAAAAATGCCATTTAAAATGGCCTTTTTTAAAAGTTCGGATCTTAAAATTTGTATTTTTGTCCATAAGTTTCTCTTTTTTGTAATAACAGCTTTTTAATAATATAACAGACGATAAAAATTGCTTAACTAGGAAGAAGAAACTATTAAAAATTTTCAGAAAAAGAATTTTGATTTCATGCACAATCTCTGCAATACAATTCTTTGGAAACACGCCCTACTTACTGTCTTTTAAATGCGCATAATTAAACACATTTCTTAATCACTGTACCTTAAAAAACATCTTATCCTCAAATAAATAAACAAATGAAAATAAAAATTGGTGCAAAATCCTGAAAATGAACTTTAATTAATTTTGTTAAAAAACACGAAATATATATAATAGTGAAAAAAAATTTTTTTACAAAAAGCTTAAAAATAAATATAAAAAATACCGTTTTGTATTTATAAAAAACATTAACAATTATTAGATAATTAACATTCTTTTTTCACAATAAGCAACAAAAAAATATTACCTGAAATTACAACAAAAATATACATAAAAAGGATTTAGACATAACTAATCGATTAAGATAGTTAATGGGGATTTAAGAGAAAAGAGTACTTACTAATAGGGCGGCTGAGATCGTCGTCATCAAAAGATGATGACTCGGGAGCTACGAAAGCATAAGAAAAAGAGAGAAAGAAAGTAATATTAGCTACAGAAAGAAGTTAATAAAAGAAGAAAAGTTAAAGGCTTCTATGAGAACTACAAGAAGACTACACACAAACAGTAGAAAAAATTATAAGACCTTACTATTTTTGAAGTACAAAGTAGTGAATGCAATAAAAAATAAAACAGTTTGTAATAAAAAGTTAGGTTTGTTTATCGCCAAAAGATTACATAGTACAATAAATTTGAACTTTCTTCCTTAGATGAAATGTGAGTCTGCATAAATAAAAGTGTTTGATTATTATATCCATCAAGTAGCAATAAAGTTGCCAAACTTTAAATGAATACTCGGATATCTCGTTTCTTAATTTATCGAGAGCCTCCAAACTTCAGTAAGGTAGATAAGGCTTTTGCCGATCACCGTACTGCCAAAATGGTAGCCAAGTTGGCGACGGATCCACTGTTAGTGGCGGCTCGTTTTCTTTGCCTGTAAGTTGTTAATTTGAGCCTCGTGATTTGTACCTACATAGAGACGACAAGCTGGAATGTGAATTTATTAAATAGTGCGCGGAAAAAAAAAAGATAAATAAATACTCACTAGTTTCCGATAAAACATCATAGGAAACATATATTTTCTTCTAAAGGACATTTTTTTATGCATTATAAAAAAATTTTACTAATAAAATTTTTTAAAAATAGAAATAGAAGGACTAGTGTTGGTGATTAGTATTAATGTGATTAGTTGTTTGCGGTTCGGTTGTGATTAATGATTCGGAACAATTTTCGTACAATCCGTATCAATATGTAGATATAGAGGCAATTTTTATTTCACTATAAACACCCAATTAGTGTTCACACCCAAATAGTTCACCCAAATAGTGTTCATCGGAACCCTAGGGTTCCGTGGAAAGGACACAGGGATTAGCTACTTAGGAATTAGCTAACCAGCAATGACTTTTTGAAACATGTTATAAGTTTGTATCCAACCAATAAGCCATTATTTATGTAAAATTGTAATAAAATTGAAATTGGAAATTTTAAAAAAATATTTCTTTCATTGAATAAATTACTAAACGATATGCATTTATAAGTTATTGCATCAGTATTTATCATCAAATTTTGAAAATAATAAAATAAAAAAATTAAGAAAAAAAAAGTCAAGAATAAATAATTTTTCCTTGATAAGCTTTCCCATAATTTATTAATGTTATTTTTCTTTTTCAAAAATTACAATTCAGCTTATTTTACTCAATTTCAACTTAAACCAAACTATTGAAACCATATTTTGGGGGTAAGAAATCCGAATCCGTTTAACTATAGAAGGAACTTTTTCGTGTCTGATTTCATAACCTAAAATATCGTCTGAATTAATTACAGCATGTTTGAAGTCACCTCCTCGAACTTTTAAAATCGAGTCCTTGAACGTGAAGATCCGATCATTAGATAAAAAGTTATTCATGTTGGTCCGGGGGTAACAATACATTGAAGAAATTGCTAAACGATGTGAATTTATAAGTTATCGCATCAGAATTTCTCATAAAAGTTTGAAATTAAAAAAAAAATATTCAAGACTAAATTTAAATTTTTCTTTGATAACCTTTCCTGCAATTTGTAACTGTTCTTTTTCTTTAGACTAATTCATATAGCAAAAACTATCAGACTAACTTATACAGCAAAATCTATTAGACAAACTTAAATAGCAAAAAATTTAGCTTCTACAGACGTGGGAATTTCAACTACCTAACAATAAACCTAATTTTAATACTTATTGATGAAACAACGAAAAAATTTCACTCACATTAAATGTTTCTAAATTAATTTGAAGTTTCATTTTTTTTTTTTTTATCGTTTGCATATTCATACCTTCGCTTTTTAAAAGTCAGGGTACCACTAAAAGAAGTTCGATCTTTTAGGGTTCCGTGGCTGGAAAAAAAATAGGGAACCACTGGCTTAGATGATTTTCATACCATTTTTGACAATGAATCTAAAAATGTATACATTAAGAATCAAGGAACACCGACACAATACTACACACAGCAAAATGGTTGATAGCTTATGATTGTATCAAAAATCAAACACAAAACAATACTGACATTGTCTCATAACGATGCAATTCAAAGAGAAAGAGAACTGAGATAACAGCAAATAAAGAGAACAAAAAAAGACAAATCGAACAGAGATAATATGTACACCATTTATATATTTCCATCATTACTAAGGCAATGCGATATAAATGACAGCGATAAGCTCAGAATGGGTTTAAATACTGCTGACAGAAAACCAATTTACTCCACACTTTCAGATAATTTATCTTTAGTGGTTAAAGCCTGATCATCAAGTTAACTGGAAGGTTCATAATAGTAAGGAATATTATCACAACCTTGTTTTATACACCATCAAACGCAAATGGAACAATTTATTTCTGATAATAGTTACAGTTTATCGACGCTAGAAAGAACTAGTTTCTTTAGAATAGGATTGAAATTATCGTATCAGTATGCTTTATGGTAGCATGTACAATGCTTAAAAAAAATAATAAACGGACCACCCTGAATAACTTTTTATAGTATGATTGGATCTTCAGAAAGGTATGTTTATTCAGAGAAAGTGAGTTTTCTTTTTTGTCTAATTTCGTAATTTCAAATATCGTTTAACATCGGTCCGTTTATTTTTCTGCACATTGCTGACAAAAATGAAGAGGGGGGGGGNGGGGGGGGGGGATTGACAGCTGAAGTTGTATTCACTTTTCATTCTTATTATTACTTCCGACACAAAATTTCTTTAAAACATTTCATAACATTGATTCTTTATAGTGTTTTCAGAAAAAAAATTAATAAATTTAAAGTTTGTAAAAAAGAAAATGTAACATAACAGAAATATTTCAATACAAGTAATTAAAAAGTGTTTCAATATAAATCATCACAAATTTTTAATATCTTTTTTAATGAGGCGTAATATTTCTAGTATTTATGCATATTCGGAACACAAAAGAGTAGTATTATGTTGAGCAAAAATTTTACTTCGAGTAAAAATTAACCGCTACAATGATTTTATTCGCACGATAGTTAACCGCATTATAATTTAATGCATGCAAAAATTAATAGAACTCAATTTTAATTCGTGCAATAATTAACTGTTCTGTAATTTCATTTGCGCGATAGCTAACAGTATTATAATTTTATTCGTGCAACAATTTTCCATCATACATGCATTATAGTTTAATTCATAAAAACATTAATAGAACTAAAATTTAATTCGTGCAATTATTAACAGTACTATAACTTAATTAGCATAATAATTAGCTACTTTGTAATTTGATGTGTGCGATAATTAACCGCATTATACGTAATTTAATACATGCAATTATTAATAGAACTATATTTTAATTCGTGCGATAATTAACTGTTCTGTAATTTAATTTGGACGATAATCAATCACACTATAACAAATTTATGCAATAGCTAACAGTATTATAATTTTATTCGTGCGACAATTTTCCTTCCTATAATGTAATGCTTATGATGGATAGACGTTCCTTAATTTATAAAGAGTGATAATTAACAGTACTATGATTTGATTCATGCTACAGTGCTGGCCAGTTACATTTTATCGCGTAATAATAAGAAAAGTGCAATTTTTTTTTCTTGTTTGTACTGAAGAATGAATTATAGTTTGGTAATACAAAATTTTAAAAAAATAAATAAAAAAAAAAAACAGTTATAATTGTTTTGGCCAAGCCTAAGTTTTTGTTGACTGGTTTTGTATTAATTTATCATTTTGTTTTGACAATGTGGAACTAAACTTAAAAGCATAAATATATTTTTACCTGTTCTTAATAGAAACAATAATGACCGTTACAGCTCAACTAAATAAAGTAAAACATCTTTTACAAAAATAATCATTCTTTCCAAAGCAAGGGAGACTTTTTCCGAAAAAATTGAGTAACATTTGAATGTGAGGAAAAAATGAATGTTGCATAAAAATGAAGAAATACCCTATTGTATTCGTCAAAACAAAAAGAATCTTTTGCAATGAAAACAAAACATACAAAAAACCACATAAATAAGAAAAATAGGATTTCTAAAATCCATTTCCTATTAATAACACATTCTTATTTAAAATGTAAGCGTTTTGTAAAAAGGAATAATGGAATTGGACAAAAGTGTCAAAAAACATGAAGAAATATTAGAATCGTTATTTTTGAATGGGGAGATAAGGAGGAAATGGGCAAAAGAAATTAAAAAAAAAACCATTTAACTTAGTATCTAAAAGATAATTTAGAAACAGATTTTGTTTAAAGAGTGATTGTTCCATATCATTTTTACAGTTCATTTTCACGTTTAAAGTAATAAAAAGGTGGTACTTTTTTATAAGCAACTTAATCTCAAATAGATATAATCATTATCTGTTGAAACATATTTGCAAACAAAATAATTTTTTGTTTTTTAGAATTCAATTTTTAAAATTTACGTTGTTTTCAGAAGCATGTTATACAAGTAATAAAATTTTCAGCAAAAATAATAAATCACGTTTCTTAAAGGGGTCAAAGAGGACAAAATAATTTTATTCTGACTATTTTCTTTATTTTAGTTTTGTATCTTTTAGCAGTTTTACAATGGAAATCGAGCAAAAATTTAGCAGGCGATAATTTTCATTTAACTATAATATGGCGAACATTTCGTACATAAGCTATCAGAAAATGATTTAAATTAGTATAAGTGTAAAACAGAGCGCCAATAAAAATATTTCTAAAATAACTAAGTTTATAAATCTTCTCTACTCTGTAATGCTTTTGGAACCTATGCTCGTTTTTACTAAGTTTGAATACTATCTGTTTTACTCAATTCTAAAAAATTATTTTAAAAAAAAAAAGCGGAAATTATACAAGAGGCAGGAACTGCATAATTTCGTTAAAAGTGGTTTCTTAACAAGGGTATTAGGTATGCAGAGAAAACATCTTAACTACAAAACACGGGCAGCCGAACTAGTTTCTTTTTTTTCTTC